ACAAACCTTCATAATTCAGGTTATAAAACAGCCTGCAAGGATTGGAAAAATGCATCTTTCCTTTTGAAAAATAAGACCCTGCAGTTTGCCCCAAGCTAAGGTTAGTGGTGGGGCAGAGAGTTGTAGTTACTCTTGAGGATCCTGGGGTGTTCCCCTCCTTGTGAAGGGAAAACACATTATAGGCTGCTAAATCCTACTGACAGGACAGAAACAGCCAGCTGCTTGTCTGCCACTGGTTTTAGGTCACTTAAAGGTAAGGTATTAAGCAGTCTAATAAAGGACACTTGACTAGGGAAGGGGGCTTGAGCAGTGCTTGGATTTCACATGTGTAGGGACACCTGCGTGGCAGATGTGCTGGGTGGGTGAGTGCTGAGTTCAGATGAGACTCGCCTCGCTCCTCACCGGCTTCTCCAGCCCACTGCACATCGTTGTGATCCCTTCTCCTGCTCCAGCCTTGCACTGTATCCTCAAGTGCCTAACTAAATAGGTTTGGGTTTCTTCTCTTAAGCATGCTGACCCCTAGGAAGTTCATTATGCAGCTAGTAATTGTCAGGACTTCTTACCTTCTTAGCTATTTCTTCTGCTGCCATTAACCTGAATGGACCTCAGCAAGTCATAAAAACGATGTTTGGAGTTTGTGCTCTGCATACCATGAAAGTAGTAGGTGCAGTATGGACCAGAGGGGAAGAGAAATGGTGCAGGAGACATTTTTAAGGCAGCACTCTGGCTAGAACAGGTCCAGGATCCAGGAGGATAAAGACTGTCTGTAATCTCTTCCCAGTAACCCTTCTGACCAGCCTAGGAAAATCCTTTGTAAGGCCACATAATGGCCTATATAGTTGCTCCTCACTGAGAAAGGCTGCTCTTCAGCAAGGTCCTGGAGGTTGTAAGCAACTTCTTTAGCCTTCTTTGGGATGCCTGGCACCACCTGAATATATGTGAGTTACTGTGGCAAGAACAGCCTAAATTATTTTGAAGTGTCACTAATGTGCCGATCTTTTCCTTTTTGAAAAGTAGATTAGTAATGGTCTTCAGATTTCATTCTGAATAAATCTCTTGTCAAAAATATCAACCATTGCCATCAATTGAGATGGGCAACTTTCAGTATTGCTTCAGAGAGAACATGCCTTTTTAGCATATATAAAACTATTCATGTTTTTTAAGCTGGATATTAATAATTTCTTATGTTTAAATGATGCAAGATGAAAAAGTAACGTGGATCTTGCAAGCTGGTTGTGCCTCTGATGTGCATGGTCTTAATTGAAGTCAACGTTTTCTTTTAAGGTCTAGTTTACTTCCAAAGTGAGGAATATAAAATCGATATTGTAAATATCTGACAAACTGTTTCAGACTGCCGATGTTTGTTTCATTGCCTATTTTGACCAATCTTTATCAGCCTTATTACAGAAAAGGAAAAGTCTTTTGATGTGGTTCAAAACTTTGACTGTAGAAATTCATGTAGTATTGTTTTTCTCTAGTGACAAAAACATGAGGTGAAGAGTGAGAGATTGGGGCCTTTCCACACATTTTTACATGTGTTAAGTTTCTTGTATCCCTTCTGCTCCATCTATCCACACAGCTAGAGAGATTAGGATTTCTTCATGGGGGCATAAAGCTTTTAGAGGATTCTTGAAGCACTTCTAATAAATGGTAAACATGCTAAAGACCTTTGTAAATACTGGTTTGTGAAACCAAGTTGTGTTTAAAGGCTTAGTACTGGGATGGATGACTTGTTAGAGTGCATTTGGCTTTAGAGGCATTTGTAGAGTCACTTTCTTCCATCATCCTTCTTTCCAACTTGAAAAAAAGAATTTATCGCTGGGTTTATCATCACTGCTGTCTGTGCAGGAAGGATTGTATCTCCAGGGAGAAGTTATTTAAGACTCTTAGGATCCCTATCTCTTTAGTCTCTCCCCTGCTATTCTTGCCTAGTGAAAAGCAATATATTTGGATGCTGTCTTGGGCAAAGGGAGAAGCAGGGGAGAGAAATGGCCTGTTGCCATTTCTGCAATGGTGCTGGATAATGGGCAGGCAGAGCTGTGTGCAGGAAACTCCACCGTGCTCGAGGACTGCGGGAAGTGCCTTTAACCTGCTTTCATAATTAATATTTGGGGAGAAGGAGAGAGCCCTTTGGGATATATTAGCATTCATTGAATGTACAGTCAAACAGATGTTAGCCGAAGTAGAATGGTAGAAAAGATGCCCGCTGACCTGAATTTCTTAGTGTCCTGTTCAGTCTGTCTGTCAGAAATTTTCATGCTCTGACTGCTAAGCTGTAATAAGGAAACAATTCCTTGTTTAAGTGTTTTACCACATATGGTTTTACAGTTTCATAATATACTGCTTAATGCACGCAGTCCATCTTGTCTGGGCTGCCTCCCTCACCATTGTTCTAGGCTGGACCATCATCGGCTCCCAGCTTGCGTGTGCTCAGCTGAGACTTGGACTAGTAATGGCTGGGCTTTGCCAGGAAACTTGGTGTTTTGTAAACACTTGGGTTTGCTGTTCTGAAATCTGTTAAATGGTCAGCACTTCTTTGAAAAGCAAATGGAAGCAATCTCATGGAAGCAATCCCATGGAAACAAAAAGCAATAAATGTTTGTGGTCACTTGAAAGGATTCAGAAGTTTATTATTGTTAGTTTCTGCATGGGATACAAAATAACAGCTGGAGTCATTGCATGTGTGCCATGCAATTGTCATTTGCTACTTTTAATTATGATCTGACTTTGTTTCCATGCAAATATGCCCTCTGTTTTTTTTAATCTGAAGAAGGCTCATTCCTTCACATAGTTGGCAGTGTCACCTTACCATCAGGAGTTCTTTTAAATATTCTATTTTCAATGACTTAAGTCTCAGCTTCTTAAGTATGAATGTCATTCTGAGTTATGAATTGAAGTAGGTGGTTCTTTGATCATATAAAGTCAGATTGTATAAAGGCGTGAGGTGTAACCTCGTGTATATGTTTTGGTCTCCTTAAAGCCTGTGTGAAGTTGAAAATGCCTGCTGCAACACCAGGCACTGATGGTCAACCCTGAGGCCCAACGTTTGGTGTTGAGTGCTGTTTTGAAAACAGCTGAGTGCATCTGTGACAGAAAAAAATCAAAGAAGGAGAGGGAATATTTGAATTAAATACTATTTTTGCAAAATGTTACAGCTTACCTGAAATGAGTATTTCTGCTATATTGACACTTAGTCATGTTCCTCACACCCACACATACTCTTTGCCATAAATGTGATTTGTAGTTAACTGTAGAGATACAGTGTAAGTCTAGACTAAGAACTGTGAAGAATATTTAGACATTACACTATTCCTCCATTGAAAACTGAACACTGCAGTAAGATTGAAGAGTGATACGAGGTTTTTTTATCAGCTATTTTCAACTTTCTGCCAAAAAAATAAGAGGGTCTGGAGAAAGGAAGTGTTTCGTATTATCTCTACAGATGTATATGGTATACAGAATACTAATGTAAACCCTTGTGTTTGTCCTGGTTCTCTCCCATCCTTGCGGACTAGCCAGGAGCACTTGATAAGCAGCAGCTTTGCTCCACGGGCTTTGATATCGCAGCAGCTGTGGTGTTTCGTTCTTGTAAGAGGTATCTGAGCCTTGGTAATGTCGACGTGGGATGACAGACTGCATTTCTTCATGCTTCCCTGGCCTGATGGCAGCTGGGGTTCCTCTGCTTACTTGGGGAGGCAAGGGCTCTTCATGGAGAGCGTAGGAGGGGATGCCTCTCCAGCATCGTATGTGGCAGGATCCTTAATTGACTTCAGTCTTGTGTAGCTTACCTGTCTTTCAAGAGCCTTCAGTACTCCATCACCCAGTTTTTATGACATGTCCTATGGAGGGGCTTCCTATTTTCAGCTGCAAACACACTTAAATTTAGTTTAACTGTTGAAGGACACTTCATTTCCTCTGGAGACATTTAAACGATGTATTCAAGGTTTTGCGGTATTGAGCCATGGTGAGAACTGTTTTTGTGGTTTGTCACTGCTCTCTTCCTCACAGGGTCCCATTGCAGCAAGTTTCTTACTGCCAGGAGTGGGCTGAAGGAAATGGGGTTTCAACTCTTGCAGGGAGAAATTCTTTCTAGTGTGCACTGAATTTTGCTCTTTTCTTTTTGCTTTTCCTTTCAACAGAAGTTGAAATAACCCCTTACACAAAGGGAAGGGAAGGGTTTAGCATGGTCTTAGCAGTGCTGCAATTTAAAGTGAGCAGGTAGTTTTAATCCACCAGCATTATACCTATGTGATTATCTTAACTGGCTATTATACAAAAATAGCTGTAGTTAAAATGAAACAAATGCTTTCATGTTCATTGTGAATGAGGTAACCATTTTTTAAAGCTTGATGGATTCCTGGATTATTCTTTAGGGATTTCTGTCTCTGATAGTTCTAGCTTTTGTGCATCTTACTTGCCTTTCTACATATACTTTGAATTAAAACTGTTTAAAAGGAGATGATGCAAAAAAAAAAAAAAAAACCAACCCCAAATCCGAACTTAGCCTCTTAAAACTCTTGTATTAACAGAATATCACGTTTGTTGAGTAGACAGAGTTGATAGCAGCATAGAGCAGAGATCCAGATGCGGTGTGGTCTCACTGCACCCTGGTGTTGGGATAATGGGTGTCTTGTCGTACCGCTGCTACAGCCTTTGGAAGATGCTTGTGTTGGGTGTGAGTCTCCCAGCCAGGCACACGTGGCACAGGCAAGAGGGGTGAGGAGTTACCGGAGATCTTGGGGAGAAGTTGTGGTGTGCTCAGGGGTGCAAGTGAAATCAGCAAGCAGGAGGTAGCCCCTCAATTTTTCTAAGAGGTAAAGCCAACTTGGAGCACAGGGGAAGGGAGTTGATGCCTCAGAGGAGATGGAAAAAGAGATATCAGGATTGCCCAAAAGTAAACTTTAGCTCCATAGATCCTAAACAGAATAACCAAAGGGCACTTCAGTAATTTTGTGCTGTTACCTTTTTTTTTAATTTCCCTTCCTCTTTCTCCTCCACAGTTGCTCTTGGTCGTAATCAACCCTTGAAAAAAGAGAAACCGAAATGGAAAAGTGATTACCCCATGACTGATGGACAGTTGCGCAGTAAGAGAGATGAGTTTTGGGACACAGCACCAGCTTTCGAAGGTCGCAAGGAGATTTGGGACGCCCTCAAGGCTGCTGCACATGCTTTCGAGAGCAATGATCACGAACTGGCACAAGCAATCATTGATGGTGCAAACATAACACTACCACATGGTAGGTTCACCTAAGGTGGATGTGGCCTATGAGAAGTGTAACAGTAGGTTAAGGCAAATATGATGTGATTTTAACCTGAAAATCAATTTAGACATGTATGCAGTAGTTTAAAATACCTGTTTTTCATCATGCACATCTTCCTATTTGGTGTTTCAAAGCAAAATCACGTTAGTATGTAGAGAGACCAAGAAAAGCTACCTTTCTGTAGTTACCTAAATTTGAATGTATGATCTGGTACATGGTGTAATGCAGTTTAAGTGTCTGATCTCCCTAGGCAACACTTGTGACTTTCTGTAATCTCTTGAAACACCTGGATGCTCAAAGGCACAATTTTCTCAAGGATTTTTCCAGCCTCCCTTAGATTCTGCTCCCCCCCCCCCCCCCCCCCCCCAATCTTACAGGTTTCTTTGGCACCTGAACTGATGTGTTTTTTTTTTTAAAGTTCCTTTTCTGAAGAGTATGAATACTTTTCCCAAAATATTGGTGCTGGCAATCTGCTGTAAGATCTTGTATGAGATAAACCGTAAGCACTTATTTCAGGTGCTTTTCCCTTCACCCTGTTGTTCTGAATTCTGTTTCTTTTCAAGCTCTGTTCTTCCTCACTCTACCCTTCTGAAATTAATTACTTCCCTTTATTCCCAATAGAAATACAGTTCAAGTTCCATATTTAAAAGAAAAAAAAAATATATATATATAAAATAATTGAATGGAAGCTTCAGTAACCTGAAACAATTGGGATGAAATTAAAAACAAACAAAAACCCTCACAAAAACAAAACAAAACCAACCAAACAAAAAGGCAAAAAACAAAAACAAACAAAAAAACAACAAATAAAACACACAAAAAAAAAATAAAAAACCCCCAAACAACAAAAAACCCAACCCACATTAAAAAAAAAAAAGTCACCCACCAACCCATAACAAAAAGCACTAAACTGAAGTAGGCCTGTGTTTTGTTTAGGCTCTGCTTAGTGTCGTCTTTTCCAGAAGAGGCATGTAGAGGCTTGTACTAAATAATGAACTTGTTCCTGGAACATATGAAACACATTGTATATGTGCTGACTAGGGTCTGCTGGGAAGAGAAAAAGGATGATTTGGAAGATCATGTACCTTGCTTTCCAGGGTAACTAATCTTCATGAGATTGACTATCATATTGCCTTTTTTTTTTTTTTTTCCTCTTTTATTGGTGGTGTTTAGGACCTCAGTTTCCTTAAGTTGCTCTTGATCACAGGTTTACTTTGGAAGGGGTAGATTTGGGGATCTGTCTGTCTTTTCCTATACTAAAGTGTGAACCATTACTAGTAATTTTAGCTTAACATGTTTTCCCCATTCCTGTTGAGCAGTCAGGATCTCTGAAATGTTGCTGAGAGGCGGAAACTTCCAGCTGCAACACAACCTGGCTTTTCCATAATTCATGGCCAGTCTATTGTGGTCCTCCAGATTGTTGTTTGTTTTCAAGGAGGTTTGTGTTTCACTAGTTTGACTGATAATGAGGGAGCTTTTGTCAAGGACGGTTATGCATACGGAAATGGTTTCTGGAGTAGCTGCAGTTTTAAAGAAGAAATTGTCACTTATTTCCAGAACCTGCCAATGCCAAGGAGATCTCAGGTCTCTTCTTTCACAGACCTGCTGGAAGTCCATATACATCCTAGGCCATATCCAATGGAGAGGGAAAAATAATTTCCCTGCTATAAGCCAATGTGGCTTTCAAAAGAAAGAGGAAGGAGTCAAGTTGTCTAGCGTGGAACTGGTATGAGAAGACCTTTTTCTGCCTGTGTTTGTCATACTATGTTTCTTTCCTTTCACTAGTTCATAAAACTGGTTAGAATCTGGAAATCCCAAATTACCTACAAGGCTTCTTGATTTTATATATACTGTATTACTGTATTTTAAATAGCATATAATATTTATTCTTTGTCCAGAAAACAACACAGTAGTCCCCTGAATTGGGTTTTTTGTTCTTCTAAAACATCTACGTTGCTGAAAATGTCTCAGAAGAAGCTGGGAGTTTAGGCATCTTGTGAGCTGGAGGGAATTGCATAGGTGAGAAGGGTCTGGCAAAATAGATAACAAGTTTATCTTGGTCATTTTAAGTCACCATTCAGATAAATGGAAATAGTTGACATCTCAGAAATTGAGTATTTGCAGACCTAAGGTACTCACTGCATTGTTGTACTTAGTTGTCAAAGTAAAAATAGTAGAGGTCAGGAAAACTCAGTGTTATATATGGGACAGGTTTAACAAATATAGATTACCTTTCACTGTGGTCTCTTACTGCTTATGTGAGTTGCTCTCCAGATCAGACTTCAGCTTAGCCTGAAGACTTCAGCTTAGTCTTAGTGTGTGAATGTTAACTCTCTGCAGTAAGGGTCTGAGTCTGCTTGTGACCATATACAGAAGACTGATAGAACATAATTCTTTTAGTAAATAAAAATTTAAATCACAAGCATGCTTTTTTAATGAGAGGGATCTTATTTGTATCATGTGGTCATGGAATTTGACAAGGCCCCAGTATTGGGCTATTTTGATGGTATTAGATTATGTATTCAATTTAAATGTTATACAAGTGTACATATGAACAGCACTTCCAGGGGAAACGTTAAATATATGTCATCAAGTCATGCAAAGAAGCTGTTTGACATGTTAGGTCTCTGCTTCCTCTCGTTAGAGTGGCATAACAACTTGTAATTGTGGAGGAGGATTTTATTCAAATGGGAAAGTTTAAGCCTGTTTAGAAGTTATAAGTCTGTCTTTGGGTTCTGAGATGGAGTTGTTTGTGTGTCCATGTTCCTCGCATATGAGAAGAGAGGAGGATGTGTGATGTATAGTTCAACACTCCCAAATTTTGAAAATAGTGTTTCTTAGTTTCTTGAATAACTGCTTATTAAGCTTAGACTTTATAAGCGTGTTTCAGGCTATAAGTTCCAGCAGTTTCTGGTTGCAAGCAAAAATCTGAAATGGAGCAAATAACTCTTTGGGCAGCCTGAGGAATGTAGGATGGATGCCGTGCACTGGAAATTAGCCTTTTAATGTCATTGAATGTAATACTTAAGAGGGAAGAAGTATGTGAACTTTTAAATTTGGCTTTTCAGCAGACAATTTGCTTGGGGTCTTGCCTACTACTGGCAAACCGTAGTTTGCTTTCTAAGGTCCACATGCAAAATATTCAGGATATTTTAGAAATAAGTCAGGAATCAAACTTGTATCAGAGGCTCTGTTGCCCAAGCCAGGCCTGGCCTAAGGCTGGATTCCAAATACAGAGAATATTTTGAATATTTATCCAGGTTCTTGAGTTTAGTAGTGATTTTTGTACCCACAAAATTGTGTTACTTTTTATTCAGCTTTCTGCTGGTGACACTTCTCTTGTGCATCAGCTGCTTGCGCAGTTTTCGGTGCAATGTGACCTTTGTGCTATGGAGAAAGCTGCTACTTTTAGAAATTCAAGTATTGTTAGGGCCATGTATGAATAGATTATGAATAAAAGCCTTCCATTTATGGGCTCAGTAATGCCTGTTCTCAGCAAACTGAGCTTATCTCCAGGCAGGTAGAACAAACAAACTGTCCTTGTTCCAAGTGACACCAGAAACCTCCATGTTTTTGTTTACAAAAAACTTGCTTTGTGCAAAATTTAAAAAGAAGGGAAAATAGCTGTTAAGAAATTCAGCTGCTGCATATGCATCAACTATCCAGTCCCGTGCTTACCTGACTTACACCATTGCCTAGATTTGCCCGTGTAACTGCTGAGCAGTGCCATGCCCCACATGGGGTGGGCTGTCCTCCCGCTCTGCCCTGGGCTCTGCACAGGGACCTGGAGCATACCAGGGGACCTGTGTCACCTCTGAAATTCATCTTTGTACCCTTTTTATTGTCTGTAGCTGTTTACCTGCAGAGGCAGGAAATACACATCCAGTTCAGGCTGTTTTCTGTAGCAAAGTTAGGATGAAAATCAAAATGCTTAAAGAGCCTCCTGAAATAACATCTAAATGTCTACATGCAGTTTTGTCTTCTGGTCCACCAGAAACCCTGGTAGTAACTGCTCAGGAGTGCTGGAGTGCCTTCTTGGGTTTAGGCTTTGTTTCTTCAAATGGGAGGAAGAAGGAAAATTTACTGCTCAGGCTGTGCATTAAAACACTATTTCCCCAAAGAAAGCAACCATCTAGGAAGATGACATGTAGAAATCAAGTCAAGATTTTTTTTTTTTCCTGAGTAAATAATTTGACACTAGCTCTGGCATTTTTTGTACATGAAAACTTTGTATTTCTGATGGGACAGATAAGGATGGGACATTTTTCCTTCGATTTCTTAGCTTTCCAAAGAATCTTGATTCCTAAGGAAAACCAACATCAACTAAGATAAATTCTTTTAACTATTGAAAAAATTGAAAATTTTAAACTATTTTTTTCCTTCCTGAAGGAAGAGATCTTCTGCAAAGTGGTGCAATGCTATGAGACTCAGGTATTTCCTCCCATTTATTTTCTATGTGCACAACTGAGGCTTAAAAAACCCAAACCCATACATCTACATTTTAACTGTCCCTGTATGATAAAGCATGTTGTGTATGCATTCAAAATGTGTATTACTTAGAAAATTAAGCCTTGCGGGAAGTGGAGAAATGGGAAGAGGGGGCTGGGGAGTGAGTAAGGACTGTCAGAGATTTGCAGATACAGATTCTGGCCTAGCTGATGCTGCAAAAATAAAATTGCTTTTTTATTCCAGAAACCTATAGGAAAGGGAGGAAAAAACACATCTCTTCTTAACATTGCATTCAGCATCTCGCTTGTCTAACCTCTGTGAGGAAGAGGCTAACCAATGTAATTTTTCTAATGGATGCCTTTTGCTGTCTTCTGCGGTTAAAAATAGCACATAAGAAGTATTAAATAAATAAGCAAGCCTGTGGGATGGGCTTAGCACTTCTCGTCTATCTTGGGTGCCTCTGTGGGATGTATTTAAAAATAGAAATAACATTATCACCAATTTATACTTTTTTTCTTTTTCTGATG